ATTGGGAAACAGATGAAGATCAAGGATTCTGGAACAGAAAGCACATGTTGAGGAGCAACAACTTGCAACTATAAAAAAAAAAGCCCAGGTTTGCTAGAAACTGAGATTGGCAGTATATAAATTTAATAAATTAATAAATCAAAGGAAAAGTAAAATTTGAAACAATGATGCTGGTTGAAGGAAAAGGAAGCAGAAATAGCCACAACAGATTGGCTACTACCTCAAATTCAGAGTCAGTAAGAGGACAAGGATGTGGGAAGGTTAGAGTGGAGGGTTTTCTGGATCCTTGTGCAATCCTGAGATAATGAAAATTTTTCAGTTTTCAAGTGAATTTAACTTGACTCGAAAGAAAGGCTTGTTGGGAAGTTATGTCAATGATCTTTATAATTATTTCCACAGAAATATAATTTAAATATTTCATGAAAGAGTTAAATAATAAATAGTCAAATATGTGTTTCAGGTTTTATGTTATTCATAACCAAAATGAAAGTACAAGAATAGACATTAAATGTTCTGATAGTCATATGCATTTCTATATAGAATCTAAAATGCAGAAATTAGTAAAGGAAAAGAAAAATAATGTCAAATTAATAACTAGAAATCTTAAAAGGATAAATTTTTATTACCAGTTTAAGGAAAAAATAGGTACAGGCAAGAGGCATACTTTAAACGAACACTTATTTAAAAATCTAACTGGTAGAAATAATATTTTGAATGAAGTAAACTATATTACATTTTGAAACTGTGGATTCTATACATACATACTTGGAAATAAGAGTTACTGAATTCAATGGATAATTACTCTGTACAGCATTAATATATACATGACACTGAGATCCTGTAAACCTTTTATACTTAATTTATATTTTAATAATTACTATTGGGTATGTCTAGTTTAATGTAGAGAAGAGGGGGGACATGATAGCAGTGTTCCAATATCTCAGGGGCTGCCAGATAGAAGAGGGAGTCAAGCTATTCTCCAAAACGCCTGAAGGTAGGACAAGAAGCAACGGATGGAAACTAATCAAGGAGAGAAGCAAGCTAGAACTAAGGAGAAACTTCCTGACAATTAGAACAATTAACCAGTGGAACAACCTGCCTCTAGAAGCGGTAAATGCTCCAACACTGGAAATTTTTAAGAAGAGACTGGACAGCTATTTGTCTGAGATGGTATAGGGTTTCCTGCCTGAGCAGGGGGTTGGACTAGATGACCTCCAAGGTCTCTTCCAACTTTATTTTATTACTACTACTACTACTACTACTACTACTACTACTACTACTACTACTACTACTACTGTTGCCAAAGTAACTTAATGGAAGGAAAAAGGGATGACACTACATTTTTCTTATTCAAGAAGCATTGTTTTAAAAGAAAAAATCACAAATGCCTATAAATTGGATGTGTTACTGAAATATCTTAATTCTTTTTTCTCTTCTTTTTTATATTTTCCTGGAGCATTAATTTGTCAAATTTCTTCTTCTTCTTCTTCCCATTTCCCCCCCTTGGCTAATTTATATCTAATGTTACCTTCAATAACCAGTAATTTCTTTGGTTCCCTTCATCTTTCATTCCATTCCTTTGTTCCTCTGACACAGATAAGAATCAATCCACAATAAATATCCCTGTTAGTTCTGTGTTCACAGCCCTTTCCATGGCCTTAGATCAGGGGTGTCAAACCGCCAGCCCATGGGCCGGATGCATCAGTGGAAGTCGTGCCCACCCCAGCTCCGGCAAGGAGAAAAAAGTCAAGATATGTTGCCACACGTTTGACACTCCTGCCTTAGATTTTGATAAAGTCAAGACAGATAAAGAAGCAATAATTTTCCAGATAAAGAAGCTTTCAAGGCACAGATTTACTGCTTTTTTCCATTGTATAACTTTGAATAAGGGTGTTTGATCTGCCTCAAGAAACATTAGTTGTTTTACTTGTTTAGCTGCTCCCAACTCTTAGGATTGTCTGTCAGTAACTGGTTGAGTTCTTGTAAGGTCGTGCTGGAGTCATTGATGATAGAATTTAACTGCTTTCTCTTCAGTAGGCCTCCTTTTTATTGCCTTTTTTCTAAACATCAGGATCTTCTATGAAGGATCTTGCATTTTTTAATATCTTGAAATAACTAAAAGCTTCATTATTTGTGCTTTCAGTAAGCAGTCAGATTTTATTTCATCTACTGTTGAATTACTTCTTGCAGTCCAAGGCATTCTCAAACATTTTTTGCAACACCACAGTGCAAAAATATCAGTTTTTTTCATTCTGCTTTTGATGGTCCAGTTCACAGCTGTATATTACTATTTGATAAATCAGTTTCAAAAAATATACCTTGTTGTCAATCTGATGCCTTTGCACTTCAACATTTTGTCCAGACTTGACACTGTTTTTTCTGAAGTACCAGATATTTCTTTATTTTATGTCTACATTCTCCACCTGTGAATTGTTGAACTTAGTAAGAATATATCTAGTCTAATTCAACTTATTCACTCCCTAGTTATATTAGGTTCGTATTAGCTGTTGATATAATCTTAGATTTTTGTTTTAGTATTGAGTACTGTAGCAGAATAGATTTACATTCTTTAATTCACTTGCAACAAGAATTTCTTAGGTCTTCCTCATTTCCAACCATTAAAAAAGTATCATCAGCATATCTGAAGTTTTTGATGTTTTTCTTGGAAAATTGAATACCAATTTCTGTCTTTTCTGATCTAATCTAACATTTCTTGAGATATGTTCTCCATTTAAGTTAAATAAATAAATAACAGTTTACAATTTGGCTCACCCAATTATGAAGCCCAATTATTTAGTTGTTCCATATTCTACTCTAACTTTTGCTTCCTAGTCATCCCAAAAATTCTTGAATAGGCAGACAAGAGTATAACCATGTTTTAAAACATATTCATAATTAACTGTGGTGTACAAAATCAAAAGCAGTTTTATAATCAATGTAACAAAAAATAGGCATCGTTTTGGAATTTGCTTTTTCCATTATCCACTGGATAGTAGCAATGTGATATTGGATGACCTTGCCACTCTGGAATTCAGCTTATACATCTGGTGATTTTCATTTCAAGTGCTGCTGAAGTCTGGACTAACAAAATCTTAAGCATCACCTTACCAGCATTTGAAGCAGTATTTTGAACATATTTTTTTAGCACTGTTCAGAATTTATATGATCTTTTCAGTCCCCTGACCACTGCTATATTCATAAAGGATCTGGAAGCCCAAATCCTGAAAATAATGTATGTCCTTAGCATTGCTAAAGTTAGCAAAATTAGAGCTACCATATCTGGCTTATGGAAATCTTGACTAGATGATAAGGCTTTCCTTCCATATAGCGGTGGTTAAGATTTCTGCAGTTCAAATATGGTAGCCCGCAACAAAATAACAGACTTTTGTTACCACATGTATTGTTACATCATGGCTTACAATGGTGGTTGGCCATTCCAACATATGTGAGAAGGCCGTAGAGTTGGGAGCACAATGCCATACAGGACTTTGACTTTGCTTGTAGAAGTAGGAAGGGAAAGTTGCATATGACAATCATAATCATAGCTCCCTGCATTGAATTGTGTCACATGACTACATGGGGTACTGTGGCTGGAGCTTTGAGGATTGGTCATATGTTCATTTTTTCAGTGTTGCTGTAACTCTGAATGAATAGATGTAAGCTGATGGCTACCTGTAGTAACTCTTATGGTTCAGTATGTCAAGACAGAAACAGAGTGCCTCTGTTCCAAGAAATCCACAATACAGAGAATAAATCATGACTAAGCATTGGTAAGCATGTTGTACAAACACTGGTATTATGACAAAATCTATGTGGATTATATCTATTTTGAGATGTACCATTTTAGCATCTGCACGAAGTTGCCCATAATTGATGAATACTTATTATATTTGTTACATTTGAAGGATCTCCTTGCCCCAACTACATTCACCCATCCCATCAGGTCCGGCAGGAGAGGTATATGTCAGATCGGAGAGGTACCGTATATGTCAGATCGCATCAGCAAAGGAGCTTCATGCCCAAGTTGAGAGTTTTTTCTGCCATGGCCTTGCCCCTTAGGACACACTCACACACATCCCTGAGGTTGGCCCAAACCTTTTTGGTCTTTGAGAAGGCCTTCAAAACATGGCTTTGCTATTAGGCCTGGGCATCCCATGGAAGCATGAAGCCCTTTAAATGGCTGGCATAAGATTGCACTCTTTTCTTTTGTAATTGTGGTTTACTGTTTAATGGAAAATTACACTGATCATTTAGTGCTTTTTAGTCGTGTATGCCATGAAAGAGTCACATGCAAGTGACATGGGCAGCTATTTAAATTAAATAAATAAAATAGTAAGTGTCTATCTTCCCCTTCTAGGTACAAGATTCCAACATGGTTTATTGAGTAAGAACCAACTAACTAGGTTCAATTCTTTGCGGCCTAAGACCCAATTTATTGACTAGGTTCCCAGAATAAATCCCAACCCAAACTACGTGTTTACTGTACCTTAGCCCGGTGGCAGAAGGAAGCCTTTGGGCTGCTTCAGCAAAACTGCAGCGATGGGAATCCATGCAAAACAAATGATCGCGGATTGGCATAAAGTGCAGTCAGTCCAGATGCAAGAACTTCACACTCCTAAGGCATCAAATCCTTCCTTCCTTCTTTCCTTCCGATCGCCGTTCGGATGCATCCCGGTGTTGCCGTGAAACTAAAAACCAGACTAAGCCGGGTTCCTAGATTAAAGCTTCGTCGCGCTTTACTCATTCGGTCTGCCCAGCGCACCGAACCACAAACTAACCCCTCGCGCTTGGATCCGCGCATCCCGCGGCGCTAAAAACGAGGCCGACTCCCTCGCAGTTCATCAACACGGCAAGCAATTCAATAGCAGCGCCCCGCCCCGTCCCCCAAACCAGCCAGCCAGCCTTCCTACTCCTTCGCTTCAGCCGTCCGGGGCCTCGGAGAAGCCAACCTCACCCGCCCCCCGCGGGAGGCGGGTCTAGGCTTTGGCGTTTCGTCCGTGTGAAGTTCAGTCACGACCTGTCAGGTTCGCTGAGGAAGAGAACAGGAAAGGCTTTGTCATGGCTGCACTGAGGGCCTGCCGGGTGAGAAGAAAGCTGGCCAAGGCGGGAAACGGGGGCCGCGGAAGCCATCGGGGAGGGGGGGACTTCGGCCGGCCTTTCTGGCACGCCCCTGCTTTGCTGGAGGGTGCCTCCGTTTGCAGGATTTGGGGACAGCCGCCTGGGTTAATGCTGGGGTGGAACAGGCTTGGGTTGTCTCTGCCAGAGGAAAAGTTCAGGGATTGAAGAGGAGGGTCGCCAAAGGAAGGATCTCGACTGCAGCCCGCAAGATGACAATCATCGGTAGTGAATTGCGGGAGGAAAGATCGGGGATTTTTTGGTTTGGTTTTGTTTTTTTGCAAAATTACGGGATATCGTATCCAAGTATGCCAAAGGTCGCCTATCTGTCGCCCCCGTTCTGTCCACCCGGGTAAAGCGTTTCCAAAAACACTCCCGTTGTTTTTGCTTCTTTCCCCCCCTCCCAAAAAAAATTCCCCCTCTTTCTTTTAAATCTGAACATCTAGGATGGACTTCCCGAAGCAGATAGGCCAAGTCTGTTGGCACAGCAAAAATAATAGTACTGTTTGCCATTGCCAACTTGCCATCGCTTCCGTTACTTCCTAGTATATGTGAAATTAATCCAGGTAGTCCTGGATAGTTCAGAAACTATCTTAGTCTCTGAATTGTAAAGATGTCTTGCTTTATCTAAGCAAAGCTTTTATCTAAAAATGTATTTCTACATCGAAAAATTACCTGGTCCCGGGTAAAATTAAAAGTGTTTTTAAGATTTTATTTTAAAAGCTAATTTTTGTCAATTGGCGCATTGGTTGTATGTTGTACAAAGTTTTTCTCCTGCATAGCAGCAATGCTGCATTATTTTATTTCATACAGGTGGTCACAGGAACTGGCAGCCTTTTTGTGGAGTTTAAAAATGTAAATGACAAGTATATATTATAACAAGGGAGACCATTATTCAAAATAAATAACTGCAAACTTATGTAAAAATATTTCTCTAGAAATTATTTGAAATACTTATCATATATAATTTGAAAGTTCTTAGGGTTTGTGGTAGTCAGTACTGATCCTAATATAATATGAAGAATCGTCAGACATTTTGCATGATGTTATTATACTTGTTAAATGTAGGCTAAAATGTTCTGAACAGAACAATATATCAATGTTGTGAAAGTAGAACATAATTTAATTAGTATATTACTGTCAGCATTCCTGTTGCATGATTTAATTTTCTCCTAGGAAATCCCAGGAAATTAGATTTTTGTCTTCATGTGCAAAGATTTAGAAAACAAAACAATTATTGTGAATTTGAAAAATAAATTATTTGCCATAAGAAAAACTGGAACATGGAATAAGGCACAATAGAATGGTCCAAACAACTATTGTGATAGTAATGGAATCTGGTGACACTTATGAGCAATCTGGTTGTTTTTTTAAAAAACAAAAAGTGCCACAAGAAATCATTCCAAATCTTGCAAAACAAGATATCAAAGGTCTGCTATATAAATGTCAAATTACAAATATAAATGGTTTTTGTAACCAGTAACAAGCATTAATAAAAAGTTTTTGCTTTCTAGTTAATATTGTACTTTAGATGTTCCAGCGACTCATTTGCAACTCTCCTAAGACCTATTTTTGTTCTTTTTCATGGTCTCTTTGCTTCTATGTATTCATTTTTTATTGAGTTAATTGTGCATTATACGTTAAGTAGTTTAGGTTTGTCCTTCACTTGCCATTTAATTTACAATTTATATACTAAGGCTGGATTCAAAGACAAGCTATACATTTAAATTCACGTAGGCTTGCATATTTCTGCTTAGCTGTCTATCCATAGAAAAATAATTAAGCCGAGGCCAATTTTGGGAAACATTTTGTAGCCTTAGGGAATGAAATTGATTACTCCCAAGCTGTAAAAACGTAAAATGAGGCTTTGGTAGCTGATATGAAAAGATCTCTGGTCTAAAATAATGCATTTGACTTTCTGTTGAGTTCCTTCATTCTTATTAACATTTCAGATGCATAACATTATTATTTCATATTTAATATGTAAGGGGTAATAATTATTTTCGCTCAAATTATCTTGTTCATCTCAAATGCTGGCATTGTTTTGCAGTCTTTATTGCAAGCTGTGAGTTAATGTACTTAATTTTTTGCTCATTAAATTATTATTTTTACTTTTGGTTTACTTATATATGAGTAGCACTTAGACTTACATATTGCTTCATAATGGTTTACAGCAGCGGCTCCCAACCTTTTCTATACCCTGCAGCTCTAGAACACTTCTGATATATTCTCGCACACCTTATAAAAGTTCGAACTAATGGCAACGAATTATGCATATACACTATAATTTTGAAAACCCAAGTTTTTACACCTCCTGAAATATTGCCTCACACCCCCAGGGGGTGCGAGCACCCCAGGTTGGGAACTACTGCTTTACAGCAAGGGTCCCCAATCCCCGGTTTATGGCCCTGTACCAGGTTGCAGCCCATTCAGAACCGGACTGCAGAAGTGTTGGGTGAGCATGTGCACATATGTGCACGCACAGCTGTGTTTGTGAAAGTGGTGCACATGCGCAACCATCCCCTGCCCCCTCATCACTGCCACCAATGTTTCTGCAGGTCCACAGAGCCAGAAAGGTTGGGGAACGCTGCTTTACAGCATTCTCTAAGCCAGGGGTGTTAAACTCGCAACATCATGTGACGTGTCGCGATGTATCACAACTCTTTTCAATTGCCGGCAATGGGGTGGGTGTGGTTTTGGCATGACGCATCCGGCCCGCAGGCCGGCAGTTTGACACCCCTGCTCTAAGCAATTTACAGAGACAGCATATTTCCCCCAACAATCTGGGTCCTCATTTTACCAACCTCAGAAGGATGGAAGGCAGAGTCAACTTTGAGCCAGTCAGGATCGAACTCCTGGCAGTGGGCAGAGTCAGCCTGCAATACTGCATTCTAACCACTGTGCCACCACAGCTCCTATATCTTATATTTCATTTGTATTTTTTTTTCTTTCCATTTGATTCTTATTAAGATGTATATGCCTTAGTATTTCCTGCTAATAAAATATTTTTTATTTATTTAATTTCTATGCCGCCCCTCTTACTGTCAAGTAACTCAAATAATATTGCAGTTTCTTATGTTGATTTATCATAACTGAATTTTTGAGGAACCTTTTCCATAAAATTCCCTCTTTTAAGATTCTTTTTTCTTAACAATTTTGCTTGATTTTTTTCTGTTTGATTTTGTTAAAAATTCCTTTCTTATTTATCTTAACTATTGTATAACTGCAATTGTTTAATACTTTCTTCCTCCCCTTTTTAGCATTAGCACAAAAAGTTGTTTTTAAGTTTGGTCTTTTTAAGTCACATCTATTGACTTTAAATTACTAGGCTTATAGAATTTTTATATGCTATTGTGGGAAGAATCCAGAGAAAGAAATATTTTGGTAAATATTAAAAAGGCAGAATATATTTTCCCAAAGGAATAATGGAGAAGATCTTTTTAAAAAAGACAGAAACCAGCCCCCAGAAATCAGCCCCAGCTCCTAAACAGAGACCAGCTTTTAGAAATGCAAATTCAATAATCCATTCAGGAAGGTTGGGGCCAGGAAGTTAGAAACTATGAGATTAGGAAGACAAAGATCCCTAAAATCTACATACCCCACCCAAACAGGACATAATAGAATTAATCCACCAATGCCAAAGGGGCACACTCAGACTCAGGTCAAAGTACATGACACAGGAAATACAAAGCCTCAAACAGGAACAGAAAACAACCTCAAGAGCCCCAGAAGATATAAAAGCCCACCACCCCCTGCTACATGTGGTCAGTTGCAACCTTCTTTCTAAAGCAGTCTCTATTTTGTTTATTCCCGGCTTGGACTGGACCCTGATGAAGATTTTTCCTTCAACACTATGAAGCAATAATTAGTAAAACATTTATTTTGACTTTGCTGGGTCACAGTTACAAACAAAGTAACTACAACTACTGTGAGCCATCAAAAAAAACCCAAAGAGTCAGCATTTAGAGTCCTTGAAGCTCTCTGAGCCTAGTTGTCTGCAGATATTTCATTAATGACTGCAATGAAGAGTAACATGAGGTAACATTAGTGCTACTGGATGTGGTATTTGTTCCTTGTTTACTAGCTTGCCCTGGGAGTGTAGTTTTTCTCCTTGGTTCCTTAATTAGGGTATTATTTGTCTGATATAAATTCTTGTTTATCTTTGCTGGAAAAGATGTATTCTTTTTGTTTCCTTCTTAGCTTTTTTTTAATTGTCTCTTTAGAATGGTATGTAAATGTGCTTTCTGTGACTACAGAATGTCCTCAACTTACGACTAGAATTAGGACCGGAACTTCTGTCATTAAGCAATGTGATCATTAAGTGAGTCAGTTATTAAGTGAGTTATGCAGTTAAGTGAATCTGGTTTCCCACGTTGATTTTCCTTCTTGAAAGCCTGCTGCAAAGATTGCAAGTGGTATCATGTGTTCTCAGGATGCTGCAACCATCATGAATACATGTCGGTTGCCAAGCCCCCAAATCATGATCATGTGATTGCAGGGACACCGTGACAATCGTATGTTCAAGGACTGGTCGTACGTTACTTCTTTCAGCATTGTCATAACTTTGAATGATTGCTAAATAAATGGTTGTAAGCTGAGAACTACCTGTATTGATGGCTGATTTGTTTATATGCCAAGTTTCCAAGAATTCCCTGGCATTTTTCGATTAAGGACTTTGCATCATGTCTTCTAACTGCCAATTGATACTCAGGAATGCTGTCTGTTAGCTTCTGCCTGTTTGGCCTACATAGTGGCTGTTACAGTCATTACACTGTAAGTTGTAGATAAAGAAACCACTGTATTTTAAAGAATGAATACTTCATCTTTTTAGACAGTAGTCGAAACAGTAATGTTTTGTACTCTTTTTAACATTAAAACAAAATACTTTTTATATTCTTTTTTTACTTTAGATTATATTTATATTATTTATAAGTTTAATAATAATTGACACATGAGATTTTTAACCATCTCTGGGCAAAAATTGTATTTCGTAAAATGTGTTGGGCTCTATATCCTTGCAATGTTTATGCATTGGTAATAAAGTTTGGAACATTTATTGAAAGCTGTGACACTTGGTTCTTTTTCTACATTAAATTTCAGGTTGTGCGAAGCATCGTTGCTTGTGGCTTGAGAGCACAATCCAGTCATGCTGCTGCAACATCACCAAAAAGCAAATCTGCTGCTGGTTATAGCTTTGGTATGTAAAAATACTCCATAATGCTTCTTGTGAAGGCCTTGAATTGGCAGATTCTAGTATTATAAATCTAAATGGATTTGTTTGTCATTATTTTTTATATAGTATGTGAGCATATTTGCTATATAGTATATGAGCATATGCAGGCATATTCAGATACATCCATGTTTTTCTTACGAAACATACCTCAGTCTAGGAAGAAAAGATTAGAATATTTAGATAAGATAAATTGTGAAGACATAAAGATCAAATATATTCCTTTCTGGACATTTTATTCACCTGCACTCCCTAATGTGCATGATCTACTGCAGCTTGTTAAGCATTTGCAGTTTCTATATAGAGTGGAACCATTTGTAATGAAAGATTATTATACATTTCCTGAATTACTTGAAATCTTTCAAAATTATACTTCCTTTTTGGACAATTGCTTTGTGAGGCAAAATCCTAACACATGTTCCTTTAAAGTTTAACATTGGAGCATACATATTTCCATATATGTGTAACTGCTTTTCACATGACTTTTGCATCGATATTATGGATGAAGAAAAATAGTAGATGTATATTTTAGTAGATGGGATACGGATGTATATAGTTAAGGGTGACAGTGAAGAAAGAATTTAATGTAGATTAGTCTGCACATTTACCCAATTCTAGTCCTGCCTTAGGCATGAAAGCCACCTGGGTGATCTTGGGCCAATTACTCTCTCTCTCAGCCCAATTCACTTTACAGGGTATTGTTTTGGGGAAAGTAGGAGAAGAAAGGAGTATTATGTATGTTTGTTACCTTGAGTTACTTCTAAAGAAGTAAAGGTAGGATTTTTTTAAAAAATGAAATAAATATGTCATGTCCTACTAATTTTTTATGCATGTCTGGGGACTTGAAATCTTGTTTTCTAGAACTTACTGATGAACAGAAAGAATTTCAAGCTACAGCTCGTAAATTTGCTAGAGAAGAAATCATACCTGTTGCTTCTCACTATGACAGAACTGGAGAGGTAGATACAATAAATAGTAGGGAAATACCATGTTTAAAATTTCAATGAATAAGACTCTCTAAGCAGAGGCTCTATACATAACGCTTTTCATATCTATTTCCTTTTTTAGTATCCTGTTCCTATCATTAAAAGGGCATGGGAGCTTGGTTTGATGAATTCACACATACCAGAAAGTTGTGGTAAGTAAAGTACTTTGTAAGCTATAAAACCAAATAAATAGTGAAATATATTTACAAGCAATAACAATACTAAGGATATTACAATCCAATCTGATTTTGAATATATGAGATAAGAACATATCTTGAAGAAATAAGTCATATAGAATCTAGATGATATGTAAACATGTGAATCGACCTCACTGAATGATATTCTGTTGAGCTCAAACTGTTTCTCTCCTGCTACAATTATTTACACTAGATTTTCTATAGAAAAGTATTCATGATATTCTTTGATACTGTATTTAAGTTGGAAAGATTTGCAACTAAAAGATAGTATATAATAAATCTTTTTTTAAATCCAAATTAAATAGAATTAAATGTCTTATCTTGTGTGTGTGTGGACGGCAATATTTAGAATACATCATATTAGCATATCTGTACAGTTAGTGTACAGCCGCTCCTTGTTTAGTGACTAATGACCATTTACAAATACAGTTTGCAAATACATAAACAGTAATAAAAATCATTTTCTGCTCAATGTATACCTCTATGGTCAAATTTCATGGCCTGACAACAAAAGGCTTCAGTGTGAAACTGATTAATGTCTAGTGAGTTTCAGGCAGCAGTAAGAGTTCTAATCACCTAATTAAAGTCAGAGTTGAGCTTGTTAACACATTTTAGGGAAGTTCTGGACTGCAAGGAAAAGCAGCTCAGGAAAAGATAGCTTGGTTAAGCAATTGCCCCACTCTGCAAGGGGGGCAAAAAAAGGAGAAAAATATGGATCAGACACAGAGTAACTTTATCTGACTAACCAGCAGCAACCAGGAATTTTTCAGTTTTCTCTCTCACTTGTTCACTCAGCAGCCATTTTGCTTAAGTTGCTGGAATGGCTTGCATCACTAAATAGGAGATGGTGCAATAGAACATAAAATAACTTTGTGACATAACATTTATTTGTGTGGAATTATTTGTTGTCCAAAACAATTTTTGTAGGTGGTCTTAACCTTGGTACTTTTGATACCTGCCTTATTACTGAAGAATTGGCTTATGGATGTACAGGAGTTCAGACAGCTATTGAGGCAAATTCCCTAGGTGTAAGTGTTTTGCTTTAATTTTATTCATTATTTACATTACTTTAACATTGGCATTAAGCTATGTCATCCCGTGTATTAAACAATAAACTTTTTTGTTACAGCAAATGCCAGTCATAATTGCAGGAAATGAGCAACAGCAGAAAAAATATTTAGGAAGAATGACTGAAGAACCCTTAATGTGTGTAAGTATTTTTGCAATATTGATAAAGTGGTATTTTGATTTCCTTTGTGATAGAAATCTACAAATCTATATTATTATATTATATTAATTTTATTATATTAATTATATTATCATATAATAAACAGAGTAATACATTGAACTTTAACAACATAATTTAATAGTAATAAAAATATTTATGTGACCATGAAGTCATATCTTGCTGTAATAACTAGAGTACTCAACTTAAATGAACAGCTATTGTGTTTATACAAAGTAGAAACAGCAATTGTTCATTTAGGCTCAGTAATGTCTAAAATTAGATGGGTCAGTGATAAAATAGGCACTTTGTGATCTTGGTTCAGTATAGTTATATATATATAAACTATATATATAGCAGTGGTGGCAAACCTATGGCACAGGTGCCAGAGGCGGCACTCAGAGCTCTCTCTGTGGGCACGCACCGTTGCCCCAGCAGAGTTCACCAGAGTTGCGAGCATGTAGCGTTTGGAAGTGACAGGGTAGGAAGTGAGCAAGCAAGCAGCGTTGGCCTCCCTGGGGATGCCCCGGAGATGGTGAGGGACTGGCCCCGGCCATGCTCACCCAGTCTGCTGTGACCACTGCAGCCACGTCCACCCAGTGAGCTATGCCCCCCGCCCCACCTGAGGGCACCACAATGCTGATGCAGCCCTAGCACTTTGCGATAAATAAGTGGGTTTTGGGTTGCAGTTTGGGCACTCGGTCTCTAAAAAGTTTGCCATCACTGATATATATTTTTAATGGTTGCAGGGTATAGAATTCATATGATGGTTCTGCATATTCGCAAGAATGTAAATATGAATTGGTATCTACCTTTTTGATGAATAAAGCAATATAAACACCAATAAAACAGTGATGTTTCATTAAGATCTCTTCATATTCTCAGTAGTTTTCCACAATTTAAAATACAACATACTTTTCATAATTTTAAGTTATTCATTTCTTTATCAATAAAAGTTATAATGAAAGTTAACTAACTTACTGATGATTTCGTATCATGTTCACGTGGGATGGCTGGATTTAATCTTCATTTCATTACATTTTAGTATGTGCAGTATTGTATAGTTTGTAATTTGATGTTTTGCATTTTCTTTTTTAAGGCATATTGTGTAACAGAACCTGGTGCAGGCTCTGATGTAGCAGGTATAAAGACAAGAGCTGAAAGGAAAGGAGATGAATATATTATTAATGGACAAAAAATGTGGATCACCAATGGTGGCAAGGCTAATTGGTATAGCAATTTATTTAAGCTATTTAAATAAGGCTCAGTTATATAGTATGTCCCTAACATTTTTTTCAGGAGATGTGTAGAAGATCCTACTATATCTTTATATTTTCAGTACAGTGGTGGTCATAATTTACATAATTTAAATGTGCAAAAACAATTTTTGAACAGTATTTTCATTCTTATATCACACTTGTATCATTCTATAACCAAGCAATAGAAGGTTTGAACCTGAATGGTGTGGTATTATTAGATACCAATTTTTATCCCATTCATTTGGCCAATAGTACTACCGCACTTCCCTCATTCTAGATCATAAGTCATTAATTTCTTTAGGAAAAAAGAAGAAGAAAAGAATTCAGTAAATGAGTGTGGCCTAAAAAGAAGATAAATTTGTAGAGATGAAATCATTCTTTCATCCAGAATCAGTGTATAATACTGATATATCTAGTTTTATGTGTGAATTGAAATTTAGAATCAAAATCATGTTAAGGTCCAAATAAAAACAAAGAATTATGCTATAAGACTGTTCTATCTGCTCATGAGAAATGTGTGATTGGTATTTTATAAGTTATAAGAAAGCTACGAGACAGTTAATAGTTTCTGATGGCCTGGGAGCAAATTTGAAAAGCTAATATTATGGTTTGGGTATGTTCCAACTAGGTATTTTTTATTGGCACGTTCCAATCCTGATCCAAAAGCTCCTGCAAGTAAAGCTTTTACAGGATTTATTGTGGAAGCTGACAGCCCTGGAATACACATTGGAAGAAAGGTAGAACATTTTAATGCTAATTTTAAAGATTTGGTATTGGCTCTTCTTAGTTAGTAGTTAAGAAATCGTGGGCTATAAAATATATACAATAAAAAGTATAAAGTATTCTTGCAGTAGTTATCTTTTATAAAGCTAAAGAGTATTATTTGTGGGAATATAAGGTTTAGTGAAATGTAATAAAAATAATAGTTGGAAAGGACATTAAGCTTTTGGAATTTGTTCCATTCTGTTATAAATCATTTTTCTAAATTGCTGAGCTTTGTGACATTGCCACCAAATATAGGCCCAAAACTGATTTCTAAAAATCTTTATTAAATTTATTTTTAATATGTGTGCAAGAGCTAATACGCTGTAGGTGGAACAGGTTTTAATCTTACTTTTCTGATGAACCTACTTTAGTATTGTTGAATTAAAAATAGAGTATCAATAGTAATTATTGATCAAATTAAATTCTTTTTCAGGAGCTTAACATGGGCCAGCGCTGTTCAGATACGAGAGGGATTGTTTTTGAGGATGTAAGAATACCCAAAGAAAATGTACTTATGGGTGAAGGAGCTGGCTTTAAAATTGCCATGGGAGCATTTGATAAAACAAGGCCTCCAGTAAGTATTCAAAGTACATTTGAAAAAGGAATTCTAATTGTAGAATTTTTGCTTAGTAATATTTATTACTGATCTACAGGTAGCAGCTGGTGCTGTTGGATTAGCACAGAGAGCTTTGGATGAAGCTACAAAATATGCTATAGAAAGAAAAACCTTTGGGAAGGTCATTGCAGAGGTATGTGAAATTCCAACTACAGATTTGTAATATGGTTTGAAATCAAATATTTCGTTACTAACTTTAAGCTCAATTAGACTTTCGTTTTTTCTTGCCCCGTTTCTGACCCTGTATCATCTTGCAGGTTTTGAGTATAGGTAGAGCAATATTTTTCAACCTTGGCAACTTTAAGCTATGGAGGCTTCAACTCCCAGAATTCCCCAGCCAGCATTAGGAACTCTAGGAAATGAAGCTAAAATTGCCAAAGTTGGGAAATACTGGTGTAGAGAGTGAAATTGTTCCTGCTAATGGAAGCACATATTTGAATGTTCGTAATTTGTAGGAAGTAAGTTTAAAAAAAAAAACTTCCACAGAATGCTTATAGAGTCCTATATTTGAAAATTTTCAATAAAACAAAAGTCATATTAAAGTCATAATAACAAAATATTCTGTTGATCTTACCAGACTCCACTTACTGTAAATGAAGAGACTCTTGTGTGTCATAATTTTTTTTTTAAATGGCTCCACTTGTTACTTAAGATACTAGACCAATGTATTGTATACCTACTGCTGATACTGTCATATGTTACATCATATGTTCCATCTGAAATGGTGGTAGGTAAATTGTTGGTCTTCAGCAACTGTGGCCAATGATTAAAGATGGTTAGAGTTGTAATACAACATCCCAGTAGGACACAGACTACTACCCCTTTACAGAGTCATATATATATTTGTTTTGTGCTCGCTGTTGTTGTGGCTCCGTCTTGTGAGCCCCTCTTATCGGAGGAAGAAGGCTCCGAACATGAAGGAGAGATGGCCAGGCCTCCCTCTCCAGGACCCTCCTCTTTGGCAAGGCCTCAGGTGTCTCCCGAC